TTAGCCTCTTTCAAACTTGCTTTCGCTACGTCTAATTTTTATAGGATCCCTCCGGGATGGTAGACCCCCTGGGGGGATGACTCTCTTTCTTTAAGGAAGGCAGCCGAGAAGGCAGCCGAGAAGGCAGCCGAGAAGGCAGCCGAGAAGGCAGCCGAGAAGGCAGCCGAGAAGGCAGCCGAGAGTAAGGCAGGCGAATAAGGCAGGCGAGAGTAAGGCAGGCTTAAGACTTCTCGAGATAGAGAGTTATGTACTGGCAAATCCAAGGAAATTTATATTTATGGGTTGTCCCACATTATGTTGGTGCGTCTCGGACTGTCAGCCAATATATTGTTGCATTGAGATTTGAGAGTAATACGTGAGGTAACTGTTTTTCGGAAATTCACTGGTGACTGATAAATAACAGGTAAGTGTGGTGAACTACTAGAGAGGCCGAGGGTGAACTGGTGACTCTGGTGAGACCGTGTGAGTAGAGAGAACTGAGTGGTCAGTAGTTTAGTGGTTAGTGGCTACTGGTTAGTGGTGAGTTGGTGACTAGTGGTGACTGGTGAGTGGTAACTGGGGAGTGGCGACTGGCGAGGCAGGGGAGACCGTGACAGTCTGACAAGTGACAACTAGCGGGAGTCGGAGAATTGTAATGATGGATGTGCAGACCTGCAGGGAAATTGTTTGAACTGTGAACTTCTTGTGTGAACTGTGAACTGTGAATATGACTGATTTGTGAGTGTTGGAGTCCGAGCGAGCCAGCGTCCGCCGTCCAGCTGTCCCCTGTCCAGCGACGAGCAAGAGATTCTGTGATACTGTAGGCTCCTCTATAGGCTACTTCCCTCAGAGGCTTTACCCGGAGTCAAAAAGCAGCAGACTATTAAATAAATGCAAACTGCAGAGCGCAGGATCAACCAGGTAGCTATCTTAGATACAATTCATGTTTACACAAGCAGACTATTAAATAATTGCAAACTGCAGAGTGCAGACTGCAGACTGCAGAGTGTAGACTGTAGACTGTAGAGTCACAACACAAGAGTGTACAGTCTGTACACTGTCCACTGCAGAGTGCAGAGTACAGAGTGCAGCCTCAGGACTCAGGACTCAGGACTCAGGACTCAGATGTAAAAAATACCTTTGTAGAAACCATTTTATCGTTTCAACATCATGCCTATCAAACTAAGTGTATTTATTGGTTTTACTCATAACCTTTGAAAATATAACATTTTACTAAGTTTTTTTTTTTTGCATTTTTCATCGCAATCAGACGCGCAGCTCCTCAGCTGCAGCCCCCAGGCCGCCTGCAGCTGACTGCGCAAAAAGGATATTTTGTTTTTCCACTTTGCAAATGTAGGCTTTATAGGCGTGCTTATGAACATGTATGGATCTTTACACATACTGTCCGACACTGCGACATTACACTATATTCACTAATCACGTACAGTCTGACTACAAAAACGGCCTTTATCTATCAATCCATCATGTTTTTGTCAAAGCATACTAATGTCAAAAACTGAACTTGCCGACGATCTATGTTGTGAGCCGCTACTGTTGGAAAGATACTCATTTTGTGTACAAAAATTCTATACATTCGGGCGAAAGAATTGTAATCTTGTAGCATAAATATAAACCGTCGCTCTTGCGATGTATCAGCGCACGTTGTTCAGTTGTAGCGATGACTTGTATCCTGCAGAGGGTAGATGTATTTTAATATGTAAACAAATGAACAACTCCGGGAAACACAGAGAACAGTTCAAACGGTTATGTGATAATAGGCCGGCATCTCCCATGCTGGTCCCTTCATCTACGAGCGTATGCGAACCCATCGAAGGCTGTAAACGAACCTTTGGTTCGCTACTGAGGAGTGGATTGGGATTACGTAAAAAATCGGCACTGGAAAACTTTCATCTTTCTGTTGACCTTGATACTGCGTCTAGCACGTCAGAGAATAGTATATGTATACAAGAAGATAAGTTATTGGATCGGCCGAGATCAGTCGTTCAGGGAAGAGTACTGAAGAACGCGCGAAAATCTGTCACATTTGCACAAACGGATACATATCTAATGATGCACTCATCACAGGAATATGACAGAAAATCGCCCTATAAATCTTCAGTTAGAAACCAGTCAGAGGCAAATGCAGTTTACGTAGAATTAATGACGTTTAAAATGTTGGAGATGCCAGTACACACTGATTCTTTGGAGAATACGGCACGTCACTTAGGGACGCCAGGAAGTGCCGAGGAGCTATGGAAATGCTGGGTGTTGAAGAAGATACTATCACCACCTGTACACTACAAATACTAAGTATCAACACTACAAGTATTAAATATTAGAAGATTAGCGCAATACACGGACGTTTTTAATCGTGACTTCAGGTGTTGAAAAATCTTATGATGGCATTTTGCCATGTTGCACAACTTATTTTATTTGATTTGATTCGATCAATGAGCTCACCCATATTTATCTCGCACGAAGGCAGGGTTTTTGACACGTTTTCCTTCCCTTGTCTGCGTCGTGTTACTAAGTATGTCACTCTCCGAATCCATATGTATTGTGTTTTTAGTGTATCCCGTAGATTGATGATTTCACAGTCGGGAATTTTATGTGTTGTGCGAAGCCGGGTACAACTCGGTGCCCGCAACGTTGATTAATAATACTTGTATCTACTTTTCGGCTAGCAAACTAGAGTGCCGACTTGAGCCGAGTAATTCCATTATGTCTGGGAAGTCATCGGCGCAGTCCAAAGCCGTCTGACCATGATTGTCCTCGATTTCGCGGTCCGCCCCTGCCCACAATAAGACTCTCACCACATCTAGGTGCCCGCAGAAAGCAGCTGTGAAATCCACGCGAACAGTAGAAGTAGAGCGGATGAGGGGTACAGTACCAGTTATTCATTAGTCACGAGAAGAGTTGTACCGCATAGTTCAATGGCACACATCAATATATTTTTCACGCGTTTGATTGATATACGACTCCCACTAACACAAATAAATGTAAATAAGAGACCATGTAACATTGAAGAAATCTACAGGCGCGCGCATATGGTAAGGCAACATTCACACGCGTTCAATGTTTAATTGCAAATTAGAATGGGCTTCTCCTGCCATTTCACGTAATCACATATCACGGTGAGTATACCACGAGTAGACGGGCTCGATAACAACAAAGCCCAACAGAAGAGATGAAAGCCGTGAAACAAGTTTTCGTGACAGAAACATACCATAGTGCAATGCCGACTGCCCATCGTTATCAGTAACCCCCACGTCTGCGCACTTCTCAACCAGCGCTCGAACAATATCAGGATGCCCTCGGTCACACGCCCAGTGTAAGCATGTCATACCATTCTCGTCTTGTGCATCTATATTCAGCGAGGTTTGCTCATCATCTTGTCGCATTTCGCCCATACCACCATCCGCAAGCAAGCTCCTATCAACACCTGCATGCTCGTATTCGTCTGCTTGCCTTGGCGTGCGCGGTTCTTCCCGATTATGTTCCGTCGTGTCTGATGTGGCTGTGTTGGTGTGTGTGCAGTCGTGTATACTTACTTCTCTCTTTGTCCTGAACGATATATTAGCTTTTGCAGTACCCAATAACCGTCTTGCCAGGTCTATATCCCCTCGTTTACAGGCGTCTAATAACGTCGGAGATGCCTTCTCAGCCTCATTCCATACGGGTACACTTACAACGGGGGCCATGGAATTGCTGCTACCACCCGCATATTCCTCATCGCTACCTTCGTCGCTAGTGGGAGTCTTCGACCGATCTGAGAATACGATATCAAAATGTCAGCCTCCTTACTTTCGAGTTGAAAACAGCAAGCATATATATATATACATATATATATATATATATATATAT